GATGCACAATTTTTTTTTTTTTGCTCTTTTTCTTCAGTTATTGATATATATTTATGATGCAGTTTATTTCATTTCGTACAATAAAAATGAAAGGGAAAATTAAGGACAGCATTGTTTAATCGAAATTAATACAATTAGTCATCATATAATTTCTTCTAAGTTACCAGCCAGCAGAAATGAAAGAAAATTTTTTTATATAAAATATACATATATATAACTTATATGTAATACAATATTCTCGTATAGTATAAATTAAAAAATGTCAATGATATATATAATTAATATAATTTTATTTTAAATAGTTATATAATTTCAAATTAATAATTTCAACATATAATTAATTAATCACTTTTTCATTATTTTTTAAGAAAGTGTTTATTCTATGTGATAATGAACATTGACAGGGGCAAAATGCAAAATCGTGTTACACGGAAAATATTTAAATTATTCTATTATATTTACACTGTTGCAGAAGTGAAATATAACCAACTATAGTGAATTCAGTGAATCCATTAATTTGTAGCGAATCATCCATTTATAGTCAATTATTAAAACAAAAGATTTAAATGTGTCGATATTTGTGGAACATATTGTTGAATCTTAATCATTAAACCTTTGTAATTTAAAATGATGTTTAATATAAAAACTAACGCTATATGTTTTAATTTACATATTGAGAAATTAATAATAGTTTCATACAAATTAATAATAGTTTCATACAAATCACATATATATATATATATATATATATATAAATAATATATATGTATATATATATGTATGTATCTGATATTATACTACATTACATTAAATATATTACTTTCTTAATAAAATAAGCATGATGATGTGTGATAGTACTTGTTTAAATCCTAATAAAATTGTTTTGTCTGTGCTTTTCCCTTATTTTGTTATTTACAGATTATTACAACCTTGTTGATAAAGTAATGAATTAACAGTATAATTAATTGCAAATATATAAATAAGAAATTGTTACTTGTGTTTGTATGAAGATTGTCTACATATTATATTTTGTTGTTTTATAAGTTAGAATGCAATTGTGTTAATTGTTGCATGTATTGTTAATAATATATATGTGCTTATGTACTTTATAAGATAACAAAATTCTTTACATTACAATTATGTATTATATGTCTGCAAATAAACTCTGCATTTTAAAATAATATTACATATAGTTACAATGTTACACAGAGTTACAATTTATGTTACAATGACTTCTAAAAAATATTGTATTAAATGAAAGACAGTTAATCAAAAAAGCGTGAAAGACAGTTAATCAGTGTATTTGCCAGATTATTCTAGTTCCATTAATCTGTATAATTTTTAATAACTAATGATTTTAATTACTTTTGCATCTAATATTTAATTTATTTTTAAATTAACATATGCTAACATATTGTTAAGTAAAATATCAAGTAAACATTAATTTGATAATTTGATATTTCTTTTAAAATATAAGTCATTAGAAGTTACACATGCATAGTATTATTTTTGCTCTTATTTGCTCTAAAGAAGATATTGAAATTTTCATTTCTTTATAATGTTATCAGCATCATAAAAGCGACTAAAATCCGCTCAATCTAAATATTTATATATATTGTTACTACTATTATTTTTTTATAAATCATACTTTGATGTTTACTATAATTCTATTTCAGGTATCGTTATGCTGAAAATGAGTTATTACAAAACACATTTTACGATCTCACGACCATTCGTTTATTATATCGTAAGAAATATAAGTGATAAAGAAGGAAATGATAATATCCTTCCAATATTCAGCGGTTATGTTGAGGAACCTTAAAAAAGTAATATTTTTACTATAATTAATGACGCTACGATTCATAACATCTTATAATATTTTATTATTTTGTAAATGTGTCCATTTGTTTAGGAACACATAATTCACTTACATGTACTAATTATTTACAAATCACATTCTTAACATGCAATAATTTTATTCTAAATGATTATACATAGAACTATTTATTTGTACATTATTTTTAGAACGAATACCTAATAAACGGAAATATTAAAAGCAGTCAGATATACTATTTTAAATAATTCTAATTCTACTGTATTTGTTTTGGTTCTTATATCAAAGATGAGTTATATACTTTTGAAAAATTGAGTAGAAAGAAAGATGAATCTTTTATATCTTTTTTTTTTTAATAACTCGTATAGTATTATGAAAAACAATTTATATAAAATTATCTTAATAAATATTGATTAATTTTTATCAAACATTTTCAATATTTATGATTTCTAATTTAATATCGGAACATTATTCAATAGAAACATTAATAATTCTTAAATATACATATGTGTTTATATACATTCTGTTGTTTTTGACAGTATGTTAATCATTGTAAATTGGATATAGTAATTATGTTGTGTGTGTGTGTATCAATTTCCTATAGTAATTACAGTTTCAAAAGTATAAATCAAAAAATTAATATAAATCAATTGTGAAATTGTTTAAAGATGGAAAAATTAATGTCAGAGTAATTTTTACTAGATAGTTTATTAATCAAATGTAGCATTGTGTAAATATAAACATGAGACTTATGCACTATAAACTTCATTTATAAGGATATAGAGAAAAAGGAAAAATATTTTTTATTTTATATTTCAAATTAATTTGAATATATTTATATTAACAAAAATTATAATGGTATTATAACTGCTTCGATGTTTCTTGTTAACATCATTTTTCATTATATTATTAATATGTAGTCTTGTATTGTATGCAAAATTTAATATTTTATAATTTTATTGCAGGAATAGTAGCTCCGCATTATTCATTTTCAAAGTTAGAGTCAATCATCAATTATCCACTTATTTTCAACATTATTAAACTTCTTTATAAAATTTAAAACTCCTGAAGATGTATTATTTACAGGTCATATCAGTGAATCAAAAGTTTAACGTGGATTAAAAATGTAGAAGAACATAATGATATTGTGTAATTCAACTGCTTAAACTAATACAAGTTGCAACAAATTATATGTAATGTACATGATAAAAAATAATAAAATCTTTGAACAATTTGGTTTACTTAATAATGCTTAACAAGAATAATTACTATGGAAGACATAACTTGCAATTTAGTCAAAGCATAAAAAGCAAAAATATAAAAAGAAAATATTTGATACTTGTAACGGTTTCACTTAGCAGAGTTTGATATATAATTAGTTAAAATAACATACATATATAACGTTCAAGCGTTAAAAGAAAATTGACTTATTCTTCTCACGAAAAAAATTATTTAATAATATGTAATTAATATATATATATATATTCAATATATATATATATATGTAATATAATTTTCTATATATATATATATGTATTCAATAATATATATGTAATTGCCCAAAATATTGTTCCTTTCTTTAATTCTGCCTTTTTTATAATCTTTAGAAAAAGAAATATATTGCACGAAAATACATATGCAGTGTATTTCATACTTTAAAAATAGAATTTACTCGTTGTAGAAAATTGAGAAAATATTTTACTTTCTTTTCAGATATTAATACAGAAATAGTTAGAAATGTTTATTAACATTTCATATTATTTCTATCTAAAATGAAAGCAAAATATATTATTATTTTTATAATTAACTTATTACGCAATTATCTGGTTTTGGAAATTTTATAGAATGCGCAGTTTCGGTGGATGCAGTACCAGTTGATGTAAGAGAACTTCGCCGCGGAACAATTGCAGGCATACTAGTAGTAGTATCTAAAAATTCATCATCATTATCAGAATCAGTGTCTTTGTCTTTATTTTCTTTTAATTTTCTTGGTATTATATCACGAATATATTTTTCAATCATCTGTTGAGTCCCAACTGGCAGCGTATTGACATTGCTCAACACATATGGCATACTATCATTCATTGCTTGTTGTTCTTTAGACATTGTTTCGATATACATACGTTGTAATTCAGCCAATGCATCATCTTCCATAAAACGTACACTTTGTTTACGATCTGACATAACATTGCCATTAAATTCAAGATGTCTGTTCATCTCATTGTTGGAATTTCTTTGCATTAAATTTTCAGTATTTGTTTTTGGTCTTGTGAAATCTATAGGGAAGTTAGGTTTTTGATTTATTATATTGATCGAGGGACCATATGTTGCTCGTTTTTCATTTATTGGATCTTTATATTTATTTAACACCCAGTCTTGAACATAATTTTGATCATTTTTAGTTTCACTTTCTTTGGGCAAGGTTCTAGGTTGTCCTGTTGTAAATATCTCGTTATAAAAAGCTGGACATATATTTTGTGTATTCATTTGATATTTCTGAGTATTTGATTGAACTGGATGTGCAAGACTTTGTCCTCCAACATCTTTCCATCTTCCTGTATTCATTACAAGCTGAGCTAACTGTTGAATTCTTTGCTTAGGTAACGTTTGTACAGATGCTTTTTCATTAGTATTGGACATAGTTCCTATTTTTGCTGGTGTAGATGTATCACAAGGTTCACCAGTTACGTAAGTGGGTTTTATATTTAATTGCCGTAAACGTTCATAGCTTTCACCTTGACCCGCTAATAAATCATCATCAATATCTTTCAAGCTTTTTTTATTTATGCTTGGCATATTAGGGTAATTCATAAGTTGTCCTGCAGCGTGGCATTCATTGTCTAAAAATGCCGCAGTTAATATCATTGCTGGAGTGGGTTCTCTCTGTGTAAATAATTTTCTACGTGCATGCAAAGTCTGGTTTATTGTTGTTTCAATACGAGCATTTTCTATTTTTTCTTCTAGTCTTCTCTCCATTTCTAAGAATTTCTCAGTCTCAAATATTAAAGTCTCTATGTCCATAGCTTTCTCCATTTCCTTGGCTATACGTCTTTCCGCAGATGACTGAGTTCGAGTTTCTGCAGATGTAACAGTTTGTAGACCTAATCGTTGCTGAGCTTTCACAAAAGGAGATTGTGATACTGGTCCCAATTTTGACCATATAGTACCAGGTTTCTTTACTGGACTAGTTATGGGTGATACTACACCTGGTCTTGTTATCACAGTATTTTGATTAATTAATTCAATATTAGAATTTGGTATTGTACAAGGTACACGACAAGGTTTTGGAGGAACTAGATCTAATTTGGGAGGTGCAACACCAGGTCTTGGAGGAGGTACTAAGGATGTTATTGCAGGTTCTGGTGGTGGCGGAGGTATTTCAACATCTGTTTCAGAAGTTTGTTTTGTAAGGATAGAAGCATGAACAACTTTTAATAGATCGTCTAAACGATTCTCGAGTCTGTTTTGGCGATCTCTATCTATATCTAAAAACTTTGTTACCATATCATTTTGTGCACTGAGGATCTGAAATAATAGAGAACTATTAAACAAATCGTTTGACCAAACACGTTAATCAAAAAACATTGCACTTTACCTTATTAACAACTTCATTTTGAGAATTAATAGCATTTAACATTAATTGTTCTAATTTTTCAGCTTTCTTTTTTCTTAATGGCACATGTGGAACATTATCTGTATTAACGACAGTATCTTTTGATTTATTATCATTTTCAGATGGAGTTGGTGATTCAATCAGAAATTCTAACAAGCTATCGTCATTATATGTTGCGTTATTCGTAATCACAGAAATCTCAGGATTTTGCATTCTTAATGGATTTATTGCCTGTATAGTTCTACTGTAAGCTCCATTTATATCAGGTGTTTTGTCATCACTTTTTGATTGACAAAAAGCATCATTTAAATTTTGAGATACATCTGGCGAATAATCTGGAGAGAAAGATCCAATTTGTTTTGCATCAACTGCAACAGGCATATGAGTTGGAAAATCGCCATATTGCTGTTTGTACATATTTGCCAAAGTCTGTTCTAACGTAATTTTTTGTGGTTCTTGAGGCATTGCACGATTATTTGCATGTCTTACTTGCTGCAAATGACTATGTTGTTGAATTATATGTTCTACATTAGGATTTTGCATTGTCATTGAATTAACTTGCATTGGCAAATTTACAGATTGCGTCAAACCCTGATTTAAATTTTGTAGATTCTGCTGAAGATTTAAATTATTCATTAACAGGTTTTGTCCATTGCACATATGATTCTGTTGCTGATTTTGATGTTGCTGCATATTTTCCTGGATTATTTGATTTTGCACATTTTGTACCGCATTTTGAAATGGCATTTCTCCATAATTAAAATTCGATCCTAAATTTTGTTTATAATTGACACTTAATGGTTCTTCATTTACTGGAAAAATATTGCACTGTGTTGATTTACCAGCTATCTGAATTAATTGTTCACCTGTATTAATAGCTACATCCCTTGTAGGAGAAAAGACTCTATGTGGACGAGCTATTATAGTTTCATTAGATTCAGGAGAATCAGGATATTCATTTTCACCTATAAAATAATCTACATGTTGAACTTTCTTTAACATGTTTAAAATATTACTTGATATAAATATAATACTCACGTCCTAATGTCCATGTAGGTGATAATGCTTCCGTGCGATACAGTGATGGTACAGGCTCCTGAAATTTATGCCTCATTTGCAAATTTTTATTTGTTTTCATTTCTTTCGGGGGAGACTTAACATTTGCTGTTGCATCTAACAAGAAATGAAAGGTGATATTTTTGCTTTTATTATGAATTGTATTAAACACTTAAACGTGTTAAAGTATTGATTATAAAATTTAGATTATTAATCCTAATAATTAAAAACGAATCTTACCCACGGTATCTATGCCAATAATATTATTCTCTTCGATACGTTTGTTTTTAAGAACTCTGTCAATTGAGTCATAGTATTGCTCTACACCAGCGCGAGTGCCAGCTCTTTTGGCTTCGCGGTAACATACCAAGACCTGTTTCATTCGAGATCGACATTGTTTGCCCGAAACATTGTACCCTTTCTTCTTCATATATCGGGCAACACTTTCCCAAACAAGTTGCGGCTTTGGGGCATACTCAAGTTGCTTTTGCACTTGTCTGTCCGACCATACTGATACTAACAGCGAAGTACTTTCAGGGGTCCATTTGTACTTAACATTATCTCCAGAATCACTCATTTTACGGGTAATTTCTACTTCCTCTTCATTAAATATATTGCAACTAATGTGTTGGAATTAGAATCCAATATATCGCTCGCGAGGTAAAAATTGTAGATATTAGCGCGTAATATCAACAGGTTACAACTGCATATAAACTTAAATTCATCACATAACAAGCACGATGCACATCAAACCGTGCACTTGGACCAACTGACTCTAACCGACGACGATTTAAATTTTAAAGGCCTGTGCAACAGGTGGTGGGGAGAGATGTATTGCGCAGAGGCATTTGTTACATTAGTAACTTGCAGTGTGGACAGTTCTTTTATACAGAAGAAAATTGTCGTAGTATTTTATATAATATTTAATTATATATAATTATTATATATATATAATATGATATTAAATTATATATAATTATAATTATAATTATATATATATATAAAGTAAATACAAATAATACAATTTTTATTCTTTTCCTTTAGGATCACACGAATAAAGTAAAATTTCATGTAATTGCTAGATTGCGAGTTTTTATGTAATCGCAAAGATACAAGAATGTCGAAATAACATTCGTTATAATATTTTAAGTAAACATTTTAAGTAAATGAGACAAATATTTTTTTAGATCTTGTTATTTCAGTTGCATTTACGAAAATATGAAAAACTAACATATTCAGAAAAGAATCAGTCTTACTATTATTATTTTATATTATACTTCTTATATTATTATTTTATAATATTATACTTCTTTTATTCTGATTTGCACACATATTTTCATAATTTTTATTTAAAGTTACATACAGAATACAGAAATTCCTATTATCTTACAATAATACAGAAGTTTCTATCATTTTATGTATTATTTTGTTTTTACTTTTGTAATTAAACTCGATCTGTTTGGGAAAATATTGTATTTAATATATTTCTATTATTATCAGCGTTATTTCTTACTAATTTCTAATTAAATCAATACAATTCGTATATAATTCAAATTTTTTTTCCCGCTACTAGACGTCAAGCTTCATTTTTATGACACGATGTTATTGGTACAAAGTTAGTAGAAACTATACACTCTATAGAAATTGTATACAATGGTAGTAAAAGTTGAATTAAAGTGACGACATTCTCTTTGGCGGGAAACGTTGAGACGCAGTTATATTACCGGAAAGTTCGTTATTGCAGTGGTTCAATGATGACTGAAATGTTTGTTTTGATTCGTTAAGAAGCATCATATTTTTATGATGACACGAGATCATTTCTAGCAGAATGACAATTGTCAGGAAGATGGTGTTCGTGAAACTTGTTATTGCACGTCTATTTGTATGAATATACGACCTGTACGTTGTAAAATTATAAACATTTCTGAAATCATGGAAAATGATACAAACAATAGACGAAAAAGAAAATCTGAAACAATGGAATATGGTACGAAACGTTTCAAGGAAAAAGAAAATAGCTTTCATTTTCCAGAAGAGGTAAGGTTAAGCATAATGCAATTCTTCACAAACTTATATTTTCCTAACACATCATTATTAACGTGAAAAATTTTGTCAGATCTGATATAATCTTTGATAAGTATTTTGATGTTATGTCATGTACTATATTGTATTTAGATCAGATTATTTTATCTGTATATCCTTCTATTATATATATATTTTTTCCAGTCGAGAACAGGTAAAATAAAAAGGATTCTAATAAGAAATTTTATGTGTCATGATGCGTTGGAAGTAACGTTAAATCCAAATGTGAACTTTATTATCGGACGTAATGGAAGTGGCAAAAGTGCAATATTGACAGCTTTAACAGTTGGCCTTGGTGCTAAAGCAAATGTGACTAATCGTGGAGCCTCTGTAAAAAGTATGAACATATTACGCAGAATGACATCCTTTATATGTTTTCTTTTCTCTTACCTGACATTTCTTTGTTTAGATTTTATAAAAAAAGGAAAAAATTCAGCCACTATCGAAGTAAGTTTATTCAATAAAGGATCTATGGCATATAAACCTGATATTTATGGTGATTCGATAACAGTTTTTCGAAGTATTGGAACTACATCTTCTTATAAATTAAAGAATTGGAAAGGTAATATCATTACACTCATTGTACTATATAAGTTATTAGTTTTCATGAAAGCATTATTTATAGTTAGTTGAATTTTCACCTGTATTTTAATGAATCTATTTTGAATTGCTTTTTATAGGTGAAGTAATTTCAACAAAACGAAATGAATTGAATAATATATTACGAGCAATGAATATTCAAATAGACAATCCTATTTCTATATTAAATCAAGATATATCCAGAACATTTTTAGTATCATCCAAACCAGAAGAAAAGTATGAATTGTTTATGAAAGCAACATTACTAGATATAATTGGTACCAATTATAAAGAAGCTAAATTAATATGTGAACAAGAATATCAAAAATTGAAACAGTATAACGAGGTATGTATTTGTTATATTTTTAAAATAAAAACTATTTGATGTACAGTCGAATCTCTATAACTCGGGAATTTTCTTTATTCTCTTTCACTGCAAAAACATTTTTACAACTCGAAATATAAAGATTCATTAATTCGAATTATTTGTCATTTATAATTCGAAATTAGAAAAAATTTAGGACAAATGAACTTTTATAAGCCAAAGTTTACTTCTACATATAATCAATTGCTCCAATAAGATTGAATTGATTCTGGCTTACAATTCAAAAAGATTAAAGGGATAACTAATTTTCACTATCTTCTCTAAACCTTTCTATTAATATAGGAAATATATTGTATATTTTCTTTGTTATAAAAATTATTACATATATAAAATTATACATATAAAACTTCCATAAATTAAATATCTATTTGTTAAACTTTTCTTACTTAAAAATATTCTGTAAAGTGAAACCATAATATGAACATTTTTTCTTTTTTCTTGAGGTTTGAATTTTTGAGATTTGACTAATACATATTGCACAGATTTTGGCAGATGTTAGAAAAGAGGTAGAAGAACTCAAAAAAAATATAAAAAGGGCAGAAGAAATCGATAAATTTCACGATGAAGTAATCGATCTTGATAAGGAATTATTTTGGGCAGTTGTAAGTAATATATATTTAATATATATTATTTAATAAAAATTATTTAATTTTTTAAAAAAATTTTAGAAATATATATTTTATTATATAGGCTATAGCAGAAGAAACGAAGTTGCAAAAAACTGAACAAGTTTTTAAAAAATGTGAAGATACTTCTAAACAACTTCAAAATATAGGATCATCTACAGAATTAAAAGACAAAGAAATAAATACAAAAATTCAGTACGAATTATTTATATTATTTTTATTAATAATTAAGTAATGACATTACTTTGAAGCTCCTTCAGTGACGTATATCTTTCTTTAATAGCGTTATTCAAGAAGATAACATTTCTTATTATCGTCATGCTGTAATGGAATGATTCACAATGTGGTCTGATTTCCATAATAAAATATAACACATCAGTTTATAGTAAATGTTGTCATTTTATTTATAGGAAATTGGAGGAAGAAATTAAATCTGTAGAGGAAGAAGTCAATAATAATTCTGAAATATATAATAAAACAAAACAAGAATATAGTATAAATAAAGACATGCATTTAACTAAAATACGTGAATGGCGTTCTGTTCAAAACAGAGTTAAAAGATTAGAAGATGATATTGGTACACTTTGCAAGGAAATACATAGATTAGAAGGGTTGGAAAATATAATTTTTTTTGCACTTGTACAATGCCATTTTACATGACGCTATTACATATACACATTTATTTTTAGTGGCGATAATGCAGAACAAAGTGAAAGAAATGAGATAAAACAACAATTAGCTGATTTAGAACAAAAATTAGATGAAACTGAGGCATTATTACGAACTAATCAAACTTGTCAAATGCATCTAGAAACCGATAAGATGCGTCTATCGAAAGAAATTCAAGCTTCAAAAATAGAAATTAATAATTGTGAAAAACGTATAGGTAAGAGTCGTATTATTTGTAAGTTAATTGCTTTCATAATATTATTAGCAAATTCATATCGCAGTGCAAAATATAAAACTAAATAGCATCGTTTTCTTCTTCTTCTTTTTTTTTTTTTTTTTTTTAAAGAAAAAATTAAGTTAGATTTAAATGCAAGGAAAAAAGATTCTGATAACACATTAACTGTATTTGGGCGAAATATACCACGTCTTTTAAGAAGAATTGAAGAAGAATATAGTAATGGACGTTTTAGAGAAAAGCCACGAGGTCCATTTGGTAAGATAAAATTTATTTTATATCTATGACTATATTTGATTTATTACATATTCTTGTTTATATTTAGGAGCGTACATAAAAATGAAAGATTCGGCATGGGCTCCTGCTGTTGAACATTATTTAGGAGCAAATACTTTTAGTACATTTTGTGTAGACAACAGTCACGATGCCAAAGTATTAAATACAATTATGAGAGAAATTTATTTAAACGAAAAAAGTCCACAAGTTATATGTAGTAAATTTTATAATACTGTAAGAAAATTAATATATAGTTTACGTCCTAATGTGTATATGGTATAGGTGTATCGTATAAATTTATATACGTATATTTTTAGGTTCATGATGTCCGTGCACATTGTACCAAGTCGTCGTATTCCAATCTCTTGGATGCAATGGATATATCAGATCCAGTGATCGTTAATTGTTTAATCGATCAGCGAGAAATTGAATGTATTCTATTAATTCCATCTAGCAAAGAAGCAGCTGAAATTATGTCTAATGCTTCTAAAGTTCCACGGAATTGTAAAAGGGCTTTCACTCAACGGGGTGATACGTTCTATCCAGATCCACACTACAGGAGCTATGGTGGACCGCGTAGTTTAAAAGCTAGATTTCTTCAAGTTTCTATCACAGACACTATTAAGTATGATTTTTATCTTCTTTTAAGTCTTTTCTTTTTATTTCAAATATTATAAATATAATTTTATAATTAGTGCTTTGGAAGAAGAGATTCGTACTATAGATAACGAAAAAAATGCTGCCATTATGTCATACAGAGCAGCTTGTGAAAAAGAAAAACGTATAAGTTCTGAGTTGAGCTCTGTTAGTGCAAAAGTTATAAAATTTCGTACCATTCAAAATCAGTGTAAAGCATCAATCAATGATCTAAAAGATAAAATTGAGGCTAATGAAGCTATATCTGTAACTGTTTTTGTAAGTTACATTTAGATATAAATATCATTTATCAGTATTTGAATATTACTCTATTTTTATCTTATTTTACACAGAAAAACGAATTGAATGAGTTGGAAAAGAAATTACGCCAAGAAAAGTTTGAAGAATCAAACTTGAATGGTAATGTTCTTCAATTACAAAAAACAGTTGAATCTTTAGAGGAAGAAGTTAAACGTCACAGAGAATTAAGGCAAAATCTGGATTCCAGAATTAACCCTTTAAAGGTATATAAGCAATATAATTTATTTTTATTAATACATATTATTTTATTATGATTTTTTATATAGCAAACTATAAAAGAACTACAGAATGAAAAAGAAGCACTTTATGCAAAAACTCGTCATGCTACAAACAGATTACTGATAGCACGTCAAGCTTTACAGAAAGCAACAGCGGAATTTGAACAGCAGCAAAGATGCACAGAAAAAGCAGTATTGGATGCTAGAAATCAATGTGATAGAATAGATACGACAAGGTTAATGAAATGAATATCTGTCTATCAAATATAAAAATTTTAAGAGGAATTGAACATTAAATGAAATTTAATACCTTTCCAGGTCAATTAATGAGCTTGAAAGATTGTCTAAAGATTTAAAATATAAAATTCGTGAAATAGAACGGATGTTTGGTTCTATAGAAGAATTACGCAAAGAGTTAAAAGAGAAGGAAGCAAAATTTGGCAAAGATATACATTTGGTTTCTAAGATTGAAAAAAATTACCAAGTGAATTATAAAATTTTATACATAAAGTTACTTAATTTATTATTCATATATATTTGCTTATATTTGTATATATCTTACAGATGCATTTAGAACGGCTAGAATCTCGTAAGAAGTTGTTCCTTGACATGAAATATACGTTTGGCGAGAAAATCCAGAATTCGTTTTCAAACGTGCTTGCTTTACGAAATAGAAAAGTATGTGCAGCTAACCTTTGATTAAAAGAAAGGAACAATTGATGATATGGTTTTAATTAATTATTTTTGCAGGGTATTATAAACATTGATCACGCCCGGAAAATACTCGAACTTGAAGTATATTCGCCAAATGATAATAAAAGACCAATTAATGACGCAAAGTCATTATCAGGTGGTGAAAGATCATATTCGACTGTTGCCTTTATTTTAGCACTTTGGGATTGTACCGGATTACCTTTCTATTTTCTTGATGAATTTGACGTCTTTATGGTATATAAGTTTCTGGGTTTTGTAATTCCTTGATCTGCATATAGTGATTAATATTATAGTAATTGTTACTTTAATTAGGATAAGGTAAACCGCCGTATTATAATGGACATTCTTTTGGATCATACTAAAATGCATCCCCAAAGTCAATTCACATTTTTGACACCTCTAGACACGTCTAATATTCTTGCGGAAGATTATGTAACAATTCATAAGTAAGTTGTTTCAGTCTGTATTATATTAATATAATTTAAATTTAAGATTAATTTATATTCCTGAGATGTGATACGAGTAAGAAGGATAACTTTTATATTGCATTTTTAGGCTAGCTCCACCAGAAAGAGGGAATCAAAAGTAAAAAAAGGAAGAAAAAGTATATCACAATTAAGTACAAGTCACAGTATTTTATTTAAATGTATTTTTCTATTATTTCCGAATTTTATTATGAAATACGTTAATATAATATACTAGTTAAAAAGACAAAATACTTAAACTTAATTAGATTAAGTACCGTGTTTGTTAATTAGAACGTCAACAATGTGATTTATATTTATTGAAGTATTAAGATTAAGAACTTACTCTGTAAAGATAAACTTTAGACAATTTTCGATGAATAATGAAACACATTATCTTTGATTTAGTTTAAAGCGTTTAGCATCTTGCTAAATAAATGCACGCAGGTATGTAAATCGTGCAAGATATATTTTTGTAATTACGTAAAAGTAATATATCGGTAATCGTAGTTTTATTAAATAAAATCTAACCGTAAACGAAACATTTATTTTTTATAAAATTATGAATTAGGTTGATAGTTTATTATTTATTCCTGTATTGTTCTACAGGGTGTTTTCGACTCGATGGCATAGCCAGAAAGGAGACAATTCTACATAAAAAAAAAAAAAAGAAAGATTAAAATATTTTTATTTAAAGTTTCATCTTCAAGTATAGAATTAGCCAAATTTAAGTATTTGATGAACTCGATGATGAAGCCTTTTAAGTGAGACAATTTTATTTTTTATTTTTTCATTTTCTTGATGGTTGTACCATCTTCTGGTCGGGAACATCCTGTATATACTGTTGAAGTACATATTAGTAAAGAAACAATGTATTTATTTTACAATGTCAGAGATCCATGCAATTGTGTACACACTTTCTTCACTGCATACTTTGATCGGATATCATCTCAGAGTCAGTTGTGAATATGCTCAATGAAAGTGATAAAAAATGTTCACGAAAGAAAGTATGTTGGACCCGTAAGTAGATCAAGGTTTGCACCATTGCACGAATCTGGTTTGCCCGGGGTTTCCGATTAACGCAACGTCTTACATTGCGTGCGTTACACGCGAACGATGCGTGCGAAGCGTGGTGTTACATTGTGTAATCGGCAACATTGGCAGAGAAAGTGTTGGAGATCGACGTATCTGCCGGTGAATTGTCAACGAAAGGCCAACAAAACGGAGATTAAAAATATGTTTGCAAATATGGGCGCAAGTACTTTTTGTAATTGCCGTTTATATCTTTTACAAACGCTTCAACCCACTTCCGTATCCTTTCGTATCTTCAATATGCGTTCATCGTTTATTACATTTTACAAGCACAACAAGCAAGTACATGAAAATGATTTTACGATGTCGCCGCTTCAAAATCGATTTCTCAAAATCGTGTTCAAAACCACGGCCTTTCATTCTTTGCACCGCTGCAGGTGAAATATACACAACTGTGAACTTATCAAGCGTCTCGTTAACACGTTCCGTGCCATGTACCACCGGTGGTACACGCGGTCATATTTATCTAATG